TTCGATTCGATTTGAAAAAATCAAATCAAATTCAAATTGCTTAAATATTTGATTCGATTTGATTTTGAGGAACCCTAGCTACTCTAATTGGAAAAAAGATTTTTGTGATCACAGATTTTTCTGTAAGCATTCTTTCCTATTTCTATATCCCTACACTGGTTTATTCAGTTGAAATGTAAAAAGAATCAAAGTACAAAATATATATAACTGTGAATATCTAATCAATCATATTTGATACTTGCACCAGAAATGTTTACAAGAAATAAAATAACATAAACATTATGCTTATCTACATTTTATTTTTATCCTATAAACATAAATAATTATGTATAACAATACATTTACTTGCAATTTTATAAAATTAGATTACATATAAAAGACAAAATTATTATTTTAATTATATCATATAAGATGTTATAATTCTATGATAATATATAAGCTACAATTTTAATTTAAAATTATTATAAATTATTAAATAATATAAAAATTCTGTTCTAATAAAATATTTTAAAATAAATAATTAATAAATATAAAATTAATTAAAATTAGTTAAAATTGCAGTCATTTGTTTGCAATTTACTACTATTAAGGAATAATATTATATAAAGATCTTACTAAATTGTATTATTACTTATTTTAACATACTATAGAATTTCTAAATTTACTAATTGAGAATCTTAAAAATTAATAAAAACAGATAAATAAATAATTATCTATAATATATCAAACAAAATAAAAATTTAATAAATAATACCTTCAGTGTTCTCATAATTTTTAGGATATGAAGTAACAAGCTTAAATACTCTACTAGTTTAGACAGCTTCAGGATTTGCTTTACGTGAGATTAACATATTTAGTAACTCTTTATCAGCTATTTCAAATCCTTTCTTTATTTCTTTTCCATAATACCTATTTTCCTTAATATTATATATCTCATAATAAATAGAATCATTTCAAAATTTCAATATCTTATATAATTCATCAGCTGTTGTTCTTTGATTTGGAATTGCATTCATGTAACTATAAGCTAATTTCTTATAAAATTCAGGAGTTCCTTCTCCAAATTCTGAACGAAGCCCATTGCAGACATCTAAGGCCAAAGTTAAGTCATGCTTTCTATCAAAAAATGGAGGATTTCTGGATGACATTTCAGCTATGATAACACCAAAACTGTAAATATTAGAAGCAAATGTATATAATTCTTCATTCAAGACTTCTGGTGCAATATATGGTAAAACTCCAAATATTTTATTATCTGATTTTTGCTTATCTGCTGGTCCCGATAAGCCAAAATCTGTTATATATAGTTCATTATAATCTTGCAATATATTTCCACTATGAAAACCCTTATGGCAATATTCAGATTTATGTAAACTTCCAAGGTCAATAGCTGTATAATATAAAATTCTGATTCTATCTTTTCATAAAAGATTGTTAAAATTATTTGAAAGAATACTTCGCAAATTTCCCTTATTTGCAAATCTTTCAATCATAATAAACTCTTTGGTTTCTGGATCCTTAGTTATTTCATAAAAAGATAATAATATAATATTGGATTTATAAAAATCCCAATGTGCTTTAAACTAGATATTTTTATAAAAATTTAAGAAATTGGAAATGTCTTTATTTAACAAATATAATATAAATGTAAAATACCTTATTAAAATATTCATCTGACATATTCTGTGATCCGCTTAACATTTTCAAAGCAACCTTCTTAGGTTTAGGCTCGGATTTTTTCAACTTCCATCATCTTGCTTTTTAAATTCCAATTTACCATTGATCCATGTTGCACTATATACTTTGGAAAATCCCCCTTCACCAATTTCTTTAATATCGGTGAACCTATCAAAGGCATCTATTCGAGAAATCTTAGATATTTTATATATATTGCATCATACATTGTATTCTTGATGAATTTATCAATATTAAAATTACTACTAGTCCATCCTTCAATTATACCCCAAGGATCAAATTTTTTACAACATCTTTTCTCAGTAAATGGTTTATCGCAATAAGAACAATTCAATTTATCTAACTCAGATCCTACTAGGACTTTTTTTTTACAATCATGTTTGCTTTCAAATATATTTAGTTAAACTAAATATTTTAAAGAGAAACAGCGGAAAATATTCTAAGAGAACAGTGGTGGTGTGAAATGTTTGGATATTATGGCGGTAAAAATAAATATTTATAATACATTAAATGCAGATTTGAGAAATGTTGTACTAGATAAATTAATAGTGTACATGTACTAATTTTTTATATTAAATTACATAATATGCAACTACTAATCTTAGATTATCTGTGATAATAAATTAATTATTTAAAAATTGTGTATTTAAAATATTATTTAAAATTTTGCTACTATTAAACGTTAAAAATTATCCACCTTGGAAAAATGATACACTAATTTACAGTAACACAACCAACTATTTGATTAATGTTATACAAAATTTGATGAATTAACCAAAGAAAACCGTTAAGAAATGGGTGTTATAAAATTAACCACTTGATCTGTTAAAAAAAAATTGATATTTAGGGTTAATTTAATTGAGTGTGGGCTTTACTCATTACTAAAGATAGCAACGAAGAAAACAACAAAAATGAAAGACATATAGACTTCAAAAGATTTCCTTGAAAATTTTTTTTTAGAGTATTACTAACCTGAGATAGCTTTAATTTAGCGCAGATATGAAAACTTAAAATCGAATCCAACTAATTATAAACTATGAAAATTAAAATTTTCTTAATATTATGAGTATATATTTTTATCTTTATTCATTTCAACTTTCAAATAAAGCAAAAAATTTTTCGAATAAATTGAGATGCTTTAATAATAGATCATTGATTATTGTGAAATATCACTAGTCGAAGATAAGATTTGGCAGGTTGGAGAGGGTTAAAAAATTGAAACAAGTCGGTGATAAGGCGTAAACAATAGTTTTCTGCGCTGAAAATCAAATTACTTGTCAGCATTGTTTGTATCACATGTGAGATTAACACTTCAAATAATTTAATTCCACGTTAAAGTATGTGCTCGTGTAATTATCGGGTAGTCCAATTTTAAGTATTAAATCATATCATATATACTATCAGATTGAAACTTGCTGCACGGTAGATATGCTCCAGAGGTGACCGAATTTTGTGTACTTAAAAATAATAATTATTATTTATACATTTTTTATATCCTTTTAATATGCTATTCCCCAAAATTTATTTTAACAAGTCATTCAAGGCATGTTCAAAAGTGTTTTACCTGAAATTATGAAGCTAATTTGCAATAATTATTCAAATCACTTCTCCCATTCAACTTAGTTAATCGACATTAACACTAAGTAATTAGTCATATTCTAATTAAGTCCATTAAAAAATACATCATAATTTAAAACATCATTATAAATTTTATTTTTATAAATATATATATTTTATTAAATAATTGCAAAAAAAAATACAGCAAAAATATACGTATTCAATATTTTAAATCAATTCATAATATTCTCATTGGTATATTTATAAAGGTTTTTATTTTTTGTGCACCTGCACAAAATGCAGGGGGTGTATAAAAATATGAAATGATTATCAAATTTATTTTTTTTATGCATGGTATAAAAATTTTACGATGCATATTTTTTCTTGTATGCACCCACTTTAATAATATAAAATTAATTATATTAAAATACAACGAAAATACATGTAAAGCAGCAATATAGCATAATATATGACATAAACTCAATAAGAAAGTAAAAACTTTAATGCATTCCAGCTCCCTTCGGTCGCCGGGCTCAAATTACTACTATAATTCAAGCTGGCCGGCTTGAATTACAGTAGTAATTTGAGCCATTAAGTTAATCACACTTCTTGCCTTCTTTTCTTTCGACTAGGATTTGATGGACACATTGCACGATTATGCCTCACATTATAACATAAACCACACTTATTCTGAATTCGATTACCAACATTAGAGGTTTCCAAAGGTCCTTTAAATCTTGCAGTTCCTGCTGGCCTTCCTTTAGGACGCCTGATTAAAGGATTTTCAATTTTATTAACGTTTTCTTGGTCAATTTCACTTGAATCTGTTTGATTAACATTTTGGTTCAATTGTTCAAATTCAAGTGCTTCTTTATTTTAGTTAGCAATATATGTTTCAAGTAAACTAATAAATAATTCATCACAAGACTTGCAAGCAATCTGATTAGCTTATTTTATTAATCCCTGTATGTTAACATAGTATAAATGTTGTTTATGAATAAAAACATATGAAGTATTAATATGAGAAATTGAATCAGCATCCATTGAATCAAAAAAATCAAAAGAACTGTTAAATTCCGAGTGTGAAATCTCTTTAAACTTTGAAACAGAATAAAATGAGCGATTTTTGAAATCCAGTTAAGCTAGAATGATCCAGCGTAAATTGAGAAATCCAATATGAAATTGGGCTTGTGGAATTCGTAACATTACACAGAAGTAATGTTTACATACAATACTATGAGTTACTAAAGATAAACAGGAACATTTGTATATTCCATTATTTAACAAGATAACAAGGTGATGTATTCCAGAAAATGTTATATAATTAACTCGCTAAATACTTCTAATAGACGAATTGTTACAGGTTGATAAAAGTTGCTGAAATGTTATTTGTCGAATTTCTTGATTCTCA